TTTGCCCTATATTGATAGTTTTTCAAAAAAAATGAAATCTTCATAGAAGTATGTTCAACAACAAGAGACAACCACACTTCACGAGATTGGAGTTTCACCACTAAACAGCTATTTAGAAAATATGTGTTATTCAAAAGAAAAAAGCAGGCCAATGATGTCTGTTGAAAACCGTACATGTCTTTGGGTGGCTTCTTGTACCATCTTCAGGCACGTGTTTCCAATCTGAAACAGTAACAACAGTAAGTTACCTGTGCCATTTATTTGAGACAAGATGAAGTTGGGAGGAAAGCTCAAGTATACCTACATTTGACTCCATGCACTGAGGAAGACCCAGGCTCCAAAAGTCCTCTCTGGTCAGGCACACATCACCCTCCTTCACAATGACCTCTGCTCCAGGCCTATTGTGGTCTAGCACATAGCTGAGCTGCAAATAACAGATTGCAAAACATACTTCAAGCCAATAGAAAACATAGAAAAATTAAAATCAAAACAATGCACCTCCATCACTGTGCATGAAGTAAACATATATCTACCAGCTTGTCTTGAATCGGATGTAGATCCTTTGCGTATTTCGCACCAGAGAGGGCATACTGGTGGTCAGCAACTGACCCCTCCGAATCCAACTTCGGTTCAGCTGTTATTAGATAGACACAAAATAAACAGTATTATTGAAGTACCACACATGAAGTATACCTAAAATGTGTCCTTGTATTGATAATCAAAATACCTCTCAACATAGGCCTGATAAAGGGCTTCAGCTGAGACACATTCACACTCTGTCTCAGCTGAGCTCCTGTTGAGCTCAACAGGGTTGCCACACCCTTGTTGGTGATTGAGGAAACCACATAAGGGCCAAACCAGTTGCACTCCAGTTTTCCACCTTTTCGGCCCTCCTTCCTCTTATTCGCTCTTAGGACCTCATCTCCAACGTTAATCAGGAAAGATTTCACATTCTTTCCCTTGCGTTTTTCAAAAGAGATTTTCTGTCTCTGTTGTGCTATTTGGATGTTCTGGTAAATCTGAGAAAGATATGTAACAGTTATCATTTACAGTCCTTAACATACGCTTGCATTTTTTAGGAGTTATTATGTTTTAAATATTGCCATTTTATTCTCACCTTCGAGTGCAAATCTGCAATGGTTGCAGCCTTTGCCTCAAGCTGCTGTTCTGCCTCATCAGCAGGCACCAAAACAGAGGTATCATCCCTGTCATTGACTGTAGCATTTATAACACCCGGGACGCGAGGGTGCCTCCCAAACTGGGCAAAATAGGGCGTGCACTTGGTTGACCTCTGAAAGCATAAAAATTCCTTTTAGTATCTCTGTTGAGTATTGTTTCCATCTGCATTTGTTACAACATTGTACCTGCTTTGAGGTGTTAATGCTCGCCACAATGCCCCTCAGATGTAAATCCCAGTCATTCTGGTCCTCTCCACAGTACTTTGCAAGTGCTTTTTTTATGTTTTGGTTTGTACGCTCATCTTGGCCATTGCACTGGGGATGGTACGCTGAAGTGATGCAGTGTTTTACACCCAGTGCATCAAAAACACCACGGTTGACCTGCAGATGGTTTAGTGTACACCAATTACCAAATTACCTGAAAAATCGTATTACATTGTTACACATAACACATACACTGTATTAGATAGATTATTGTACCTCATTGACAAATTCCCGTCCTTGGTCGGTAATGATCTTCTCGACAAGACCGAAATCGAGAAGAATATTTACAATCTTTTTTGAGACCTCAACAGCTGTTTTGTGGTAGAGCGTTTTTGCTACCACCCACTTCGTGAACAGATCAGTCGCTGTTAGAATGTATCTGCAATATAAAATGCAGAATGTTGTAAATACATACAGAATCACTGTAAATGATTTCCTTTCTTTTTAAACCAGATTCTTCACGTTTAGAACCTTTAAAGGAGGTTACACATGCTTCAGCCCATCATGATAGTACCTTTTGCCCTTAGCAGTGGAGGGAAGTGGGCCAATGAGATCCACACATGTCTCACTCTGTTTCAATGTACACATACAACACATTTCTGTAGATCAATAATCAGTCAGTCAGTCAAAAACTCCCACCCATTTCTTCACGTCCTCCCGCATAGTGGACCAGTGGTACGTTGCCAAAACCTTCTCGGTGGTGCGCCTTCTCCCTGCATGACCTCCGGAACCCAGGTTATCATGGCACTCCTTCAGGACATTGATAATTTGGTCCTTGGTGCACACAACCATCCTCTCATTGTCCTTGTATGTGTAGTACAAATCTCCAGCTGGCACAACAGGAACAACAAAACAATCATTTAGACATGTGTAGAGATGACATTATGACTAAAAGCTGTTCAAGAAATCCAGTGGCAAATGTGGTTTAGACGTAACAACTACAGTAATGTAAAGTGTGTATAAAAAGAAAAAGGAGAAACAAGCTGTGGAGTCCTTGCGATTTACTGAAAAATGTTGGAATTGCAATATGATAAACCATTAGAGGTATGATCACTTTTGCACCAAAAAACACCATTAGATAAATAGATAGATAGATATATACTTTATTGATCCCTATAAGTAAAGGGATGTGATGATGTCACATGTACAGGGGGTTTATACCTCATAATAAAAACGTATGTTCGTGACTTAACCATGGTCTTATTCTGTTACTTACCTTTGATCAGGTATTGTTTGGATGCCCTCCGAATTAACGCCTTCCTTTTATCATGCTTTTCAGCGGCGATGGTGAGATTGTGGTAACCACCATTGAGCACGTACTGCTTTATCTCAGCATAAAAGCTCTCCATTTCTGTCATGAAAGTTAAAATGGTCGCGGTAATTATGGGGAAGCGGAGGGATCTAGATCGTTCACACATAACAAGCTGTACCGAGTTCCTCCGGCTGCAGTTCCGCAGACGGCCGGTGTGTGGCAGCATAGCGCTGGGAGCAGAGGGAGGTGAGTATATGACGGATATGACGGATGACGGATGCGACGGAAATACACCCGAACATATTTGGTAGGCCGAACATATCTGGTACTGACAACGGCAGCAGTGCAGGGAGTGGAAGTAGAGCGCTGAACACACACGGTTCTTATTAAACAGCGCTTTCTCACCGGAGTACTTTTCTCAGTCATTCTTAAAGTACCGATACTAATGAAACGGAGGAATCGTAACGTTTTTAACGGCAGGGTATTGCGGTACCTTTCAAGTATTGGTACACCGTGCAACACTAGTCAGGAGTCAGTGTCTCTCCCCCAAACTCACACATATACAATTCGATATGAACTGAAGAGCCGCATGAAACTATAGGCAAAGAGCCGCATGCGGCTCGAGAGCCGCGGGTTGGACACCCCTGCTTTAGAAGATGACTTTATACATACAGTATGCAATACATACAGTATCATGTGTTTTATAATACTTTTTTTTTTTAATATGGCAAACAAATGAATTGAACAAAATGTAGTGTCACTTGTTCCCTGGGTTCCAGTTGCTGTGTAAGTTGAACACATCTTGATCTAATACCTAATTTTTAGCTTTCTATGACCAGTGATGGAAAGTAACAAAGTACATTTACTCAAGTAACATTCTTAAGTATTAGTTTGGCGTAATTGTATTTTACTTGAGTATTTCCAATTTCCTATGTTGTACTTTTTACTCCACTAGATGTATTTAACACTAATAATAATAATGCATTTTATTTATGGGCGCCTTTCAAAGCTCTCAGGGACACCTTACAGAGCATGATTAAAAACAAGCAACAAAGAAGATCAAACAGTAATTCAAGACTTAAAAAACAAAGACTTAAAACAACAATCAGTGTAGAAGAATTAAGATATTGAATACGCCAGTTTAAAAAGGTGGGTTTTCAGGCAGGATTTGAAGGTTGAGAGTGAGTCCATATTGCGGATGTCTCGTGGGAGAGAGGTCCAGAGACGGGGGGCAGAGTGGCTCTTGACCCCATGGTGGGCAGGCGGGCAGAAGGTACAGTGAGTTGGAAGGCAGAGGAGGATCGAAGGGTACGAGAGGGAGTGTAGATGTGAAGGAGTTCAGAGAGATATGGAGGTGCTAGAGTGTGTTGAGAGAACCGGAGTGATATGATCAATGGAAGTAGTTCTGGTAAACACTATAGTTACTAGCTACTTTTTACATAGAAAACATGTGATTTCCTTCAATAATATGATGCAATACTGTCCTGCAAATATACAAAAATGCAACCCAGTATTTTAAGTATCTAAAATTGGCTTCACAATGACAAACTGCTACATTAAATGCCCTGACATGTATATGTTATACACATATAATATTGTGAGAGCAGTAATTGTGCATGTTGAATATTTGATACTTTAAGTACATTTAGCTGATAATTGTTCTGTACGTAAGTAACATTTAGCATTCAAGACTTGTAATGGAGTATTTTAAGAACATAGTATAATAATAATAATAATAATAATTTCAATTTATATAGCGCCTTTCACGAAACCCAAGGACGTTTTACAATGGGAAGTAACAAAACAAAACAAAAAGTAATAATAACCATACAGATACGGCTGAAAGTATTTCCACTTTTACTTAAGTAAAGGATCTGAGTACCTCTTCCATGAGTAGTAGGAAACTGCACTCACAGCAGACATGTTATAACATCTAGCTGTGTTTCCACTCTGGGCAACTTATGATAGCTTTGTGAAATGTGGGAACACATTGTCCCTCTGTGTTTGGTTCCAAAGGCTGCCAAAGTAGAAGCTCTGGGCACATACTAATATTTGTATCACGCTTCCCTCTTCAAAATACTACAATATTAGCAGCCGCTGATCTCTACATGTCACAGCCTGGTAGGAAATGTGAGAAATCTAGTTTATTTATAGTTTAGCATTGCATAAATCATCCTGTTGATACAATCTTCCCTGTTACCACATGAAGACAGAGATAGTCCTCACAAGTATTAATGAGTAAGAGCAGTCTACCATTGTGAATAGTTTTATCAGAGTAACTTGAACTTTGCTCACTACATTCTCTCGTCATCAGGATCAGGCAGGCCCGTGGGATACATACTGAGTTAAAAGCACACAACTGCTTAGACTATCCCCGCTGTGTACACTAGGAAGGCCAGCTGAGAGCGGCAGGGTGTTGTGAGAAGACACAAAGCAGAACATCCAGGATGGCAGGGAGGAGACGAGGCCGGGGAAACAACGCCCAGCAGCACCAGGCCCCACAGCACCAGAGAGCGGGCCCTCGCGGGGTAAGACCTGTTCTGTCAAGATTTAATGTTTATTCTCACACTTTAAATAATGGGACGTCCTGTAAAGGAGATTCTGATTGTCTTTTTGTATTTGTATATTACTTAGAGTGGACATCAGTCATGAGATACCGTTGTATTTACCAGTTATATTTGTTTTGTGTTGTTAATTCAAAGGCTTGGTCAATATTACAGTAGTAAACTTTTCTCTTTTGTCTGTTTGACTTGTGACAGGGAGGGTAAAGTAAACTGAATAACTGGTTGGAGTGATTACGTTTGTTCTTAAAGCAGTAACATGTTATTATTCTTAAGTGATATTAAGTAAACACTTGTTTAGTATGATAGAAAATTGTTTTAAGTCATCCTTTCACTTAAAATAGTTCATTATTATTTGTTTAAATTAGCTTTCTAGTTGTATATGTGGCCTGTGACAGAATTGTGAGCCACATAGTATATCATTTAAGTACAAAAGTTACACATTACATCATACATGTGTGCCTCCTTTGTGTTTGTTTACTTCCTACCTATAGGTGTAAAGTCACAAAATAATTGCTAACTATGGACTATAAGAAACAACATTTATAAGAAGCATGGAGGGCTGTCGTAGCAGCTTTTAAAATCAGCTGTGGTCTAGAGAGAATAATCAGTTAGGTAACAAACGTACAGCAACACAATATTCGTATTGAAGGCAAAAAAGATCTTTATACTTGCAAGTATGACGTCTGCTCCAAAGGAGAACGTACTGTTCTGAGTTAAACAGGCTCTCTTTATAAGAGGACATCAAAGTAGGTTTACATTATTACATTCTGGGAGGCTATAGCAATGTTAACACATTTGATCGCACAATTTCCTTAACAGGGCTTAAACAAATTGTCTTCACAAAGATCACTTCAAGATCAAATTCAAGAGGGTGAACTATACAACCTTACAGATTAACACAGCACAGGAATCACCAGACATTTGAGTGGAAGCAGAGTTCAAAGTATATCTTACATCACATCAGATAAAGATGTTTGTTTCTACACACAACACAAAGTTCATGACATATGGAGACGCTCGTTACCGACAGAATTCACACATTCATCTGTTTAAAGATCATTATCAAAGCTATATGGTTTGATAACAAATATTTATTTTTGTACACATTTCTTCTTACCAGATCGAGGATGAGCTTCTTTCAAATTTAAATATGAATGTTTTATGAAAAAGAATCCAACTTTCTTGTTTTTGACTCCCACGCTCAAAATAGGTACAGTTAACTGGAAACGTGTGTATACAATGTCATGTTTTTCACTTAATGCACAATAAGACCTAAAAAAAGGATTAGTAGTTTATAAAACGGAGGTTTTAAATTGGAAAATGAAAGCTCTAACAAAGTTCAAACATGTTCTTCCCACTTCTCTCCCTGTATTCAGTCTCAGCGGAAGCCGGCTGCTTTTGCCAAGTCCACAGGTTGTGATTCACAGACCCCCCATGACAAGCTGACCATCACCCAGGCACGGAGGGGCACACCAGGTCACACTTCTCTTTAGTTTTTGCTCTCATTTATAAATAATGTCATGCAACCAAGAAAACAACCAGCTCGTAGGTTGTGAGCGATAAGGGAATAGTAGGAGAATTACTCAGATGCTTAAAGGGGCTATATTATGCTTTTGGGGTTTTCCCTTTCCTGTAGTTTTTTATATATGTTTTTGTTCATGTAAATAATATATAATGACCTTTTTGAACATTAAAGCATGTAAACGTGTCACAGTAGAGGCACACGATAAAAACTGAACCTGTAATTGAGCATAATAGGGCCCCTTTAATTATGAATGTATCAGCTGATATCAGCTGTAACTAGTTATTTATTCCTTTACTGCTAGTTATTTGGCTGATTGCAGGGTTGGTATTATTATGACCTTATTATGCCACGCCATTCTACTGTGAAAGCAACAGATTCAAAGTATCAAAGTCTAACAGTTGATCAGATATTGGCATCAGCCTATTCTACGTCACTCAATATCTTTGAATAATATGGAAAGATGAATTGATGGTTTATGAATATTATTTTGGTCTTAAAAGACATGTTTTCATATGCTTCATCATGTAGCCAATCGTCCTGTGCGAGTCTACGCTGATGGGATTTTTGATCTTTTCCATTCGGGACATGCTCGAGCTCTGATGCAGGCCAAAAATGTGTTTCCAAACACATACCTGATAGTAGGAGGTAAAGGATGAATCTCACTCCCTGACATACATCTTATCTCATCTTATTGTCATGTAGGTAGTGTGTGTAGTAATCGTAAAAAACAATTTTAAAGTAACCCTCCCAAACCTTGATTACAATAATGATAAAAATGTCGTTTGAAGGACCCAAATATTTTATTAATTGGACGAAATAGTTTATTCATTCCAGATTAAACCTGGCTTCCTGGTTTATGACTACCAAGTTCTTTGTGTCCCTAGTCTGCAGTGATGAACTCACTCACAAGTTAAAGGGCTACACGGTGATGACAGAGGACGAACGCTACGACGCCCTGACACACTGCCGCTATGTTGACGAGGTGGTGCGGGACGCTCCCTGGACGCTCACCACAGAGTTCCTCCATAGACACAAGGTCAAAGGTTACGCAGTCATTGGACACACAGCTTCTCATTATGTCGTACAGTGACAACACCAACATATATCTGGTGCTAAATCAGTCTGAACGCTTCAATGTTACACTCACAGATTGACTTTGTGGCCCATGATGATATTCCTTACACTTCTGCTGGATCAGAGGATGTCTACAAACACATCAAGGAAGCAGGTAAACCTATAGATAATGATATATATGATTTTAGTTCATTCATCATTTTATTTACTTACATTCCTTTATGTTTTAATGTCAGGGATGTTCGTGGCCACTGAGAGGACAGAAGGAATCTCCACATCTGATCTGATCACTCGTATCGTCAAAGACTATGACATTTATGTTCGACGCAACCTGCAGAGAGGCTACACAGCCCGAGAACTCAATGTTGGATACATTAATGTATGTGAAATTGTATTTGTTACAATTTACAAAATAGAATATTGGAGTTTTTGGTCATCATAAATGTACTGTCAGTCACTTGCTTTGTGTTTCACTGACAGGAAAAGAAATATCGACTCCAGGAACAAGTGGACAAGATGAAAGAGACGGTCCGCACGGTGGAGGAAAAGTCCAAACACTTTGTCTACAGGGTGGAAGAGAAGAGCCATGACCTCATCCACAAGTGGGAAGAGAAGTCGCGAGAATTTATCAGCAACTTCCTGGAGCTTTTCGGACCTGATGGAGCATGGGCACGTTCACTTTTACATCAATATTAAAGGTCCCCTATTATACTGTTTTTCATCAATATATAATAGGTCTCAGATATATACTAAACGTGTCTCTGAATAGTTTGGCTCAAAATACCAAACAGATCATTGCAGCATCCCATAAGCCCCTCTGTTTCAGCCCTGTTTCAAAAGTGCTGATTCTCTGTCTGTTACTTTACATTAAAGTTCCCATGTCATGGCCATTTCTCCTGATCATAATTCCATTGTTGAGGTCTACTAGAATAGATTTATATTGTGAAATGTTCCAAACTCACATTGGTTTCTCATACAGCATCTCTGTATAGTATGTGTATTCACTCTCTGTCCTAAACGCCTTGTTGGAGCTCCTGCCCCCCCCCCCCCCCCCTCCCTGTGAGCCCACTGTGCTCTGATTGGTCAGCTCGCCTGGTCAGCTCTGATGAGTCCACCACCGTTACAGCGGAACATCAGTGATTATGTGTTACAATGGCGTTAGCAACCAGAAAATGACACCAGTAAGGACAAACAGATGCTGCGTGGGGTCTGGGTGCCGTGTTGGCAAGACGTTGCGCGGCTCGCTGCTGCGAGGAGCGGACAGTGTGAGCTGGGTTCATTTCCTGCTTGCTGCGTGGGATTTGGAAGACAGCGAGACATCGCGAATGGGCGTGGGAAAGGGGGGGGGGGTGCTGAGCGACGCTCCACTAGCACTTAAACCTTCATAACACACAAGGGGACGGGTAATAACCGGAAAAGCATGACATGGGACCTTTAAAATAAGGAGCCACTCCCCGTGCCCCTCTGCAAGATATTTGGTTAAAAAGAACACAATGGTGCTCTAGGAGGAGATTCAGGTGATAAGGTGAGGGGGTTTACCTAGGTTGGTGATAGGCTAATGGTTGCACAAGCCAAAAAATCGTTATGACATCATAAAGTGGCCAAAATCTGATCAGCTCATTTTCAGACAGGTTTTTATATAAATGGATCAGGACAAGAAGAGAGCGAATCACATGTTTATGTATAAAATACATGAAAAAGTGGATTTTGCATAATAGGTGAACTTTAAGTTTATTTTCAAGTGGCGCATTTGCTTTTCTTGTTATATAAATACATACACGGTTTAAAATATCATACTTTTTCCTGTCTCTGTCACGTTTAGCATGTGATTCAGGAGCGCAGTGGCCGGATGCTCCAGGCCCTCTCTCCCTACTCCTCACCCCGTGGCTCCCCCAGCAGCAGTCCAACCAGAAGACGACGCTCCCTTTCTCCTTACTCCTCCTCTGCCTCCCCCTCCCAGTCTTCCTCCTTTCTCTCCCCTCCTCCCTCCCCCTCCTCAGTTTAAAAGGCCTATATTAAAGATTCCTCCTCAGAAAAAACAATCTCATCATGATTTGGCCTAAACGTCGGCCACATAAACGTTTATTGGTCCATTATCTGGTCCATAATATGGAACTAATGCTGGTTTAATCAAATCCATGTAAATAAAGGTGGTTACAAAGCTTGGATATTATTTGTCTCATCATATTTGTTACTCATTAATATGTCTTACATTACATTGCATTTAGCTGACGCTTTTATCCAAAGGGGCTTACAATAAGTGCATTCGACCAAGAATGTCTAAATACATAACCAACAAGTCCTTATACCTAAATGAAATGGCAGTTTTAAAGTGACTTCATACTGAAACACAACTGCCTGGTTAAGGTTGTTTAATTTTGAAAGCTGTATGTTAAGCAGTGGCGTTTTTATATGTACAAAAGTGGTGGGGCACAAAAAACGTAGATGTTTATATATAAGCTTCTGCAGTGAGGTTCATGGCTGGTGAGGCACTGACTCTTCAGGTTTACAAATATTATATTTGGACCTAAATCAAAATATTCCATTATATTCAAAAGCTATTTTAGTTTGATGCTTCGATTAATTTTAAACAGACAGTTCAACAAAAAGATACCCACAAAATGTAATTTTATCATTTAAATATTGAATTGTTCTCTCTTAGTAAGATCCCATTTTCAATAAAAATGGTGGTCTTACCTTGACTTGAAGATGAAGTTCATTTGCCTATCCCTCTGGACAAAAATCTCTATTACTTTTTTGTAAAAGTCCTCCTTATCTTCTTGTCGTTTCAAAAGTCAAATCACAAGTCTAATCGATAGATTTATGATCGATAGATTTATGATTCGAAAATTATAAAAGTATATATGTGGATATTATCCGGCTGAACAAAACGTGCATTTATCTAACAGGTACGTTTCCCACAGCTCTTATTTCGAGCTATTTTCTAAAATCCTATGGAGGAATCTCATTACTTTTTTGTCGGGTTTTAGGACGCGTCACTGCACCTCTCTCGTCTCCTCTTCACACACTACACTTATCACGGCACACATATCCAGCGCACATATACAGCCTATCAGTTCTGAATTATGTGAGATGATGTATGGTGGGGATGGCAGCTCAGTGCCCCTATGGCCTATGGTCATTATTTTTTTGCCACACACATTAAATAGAAACATATTCTGAGCATGCGCAGTGTAGTTTTTACAGTCACCAGGGGAATGATCGGGTTTTGTCCCACATGGCTCAAAACGGCACACACAGTATAGACACTAATTAGAAGAACACAGATTAAAACAGCAATGTACAGACGAATCAGATGATTAAACATTATCTTAAAATATATTTTGTTGTTTATTTTTTTGCATTTTTTGGTAATCATTATTTGTAATACTTTCTGCTGACACTAGGTGGGGCTGTGCAAAAAATACAATTTGATTTTCACAACAAACTAAAAATAATTCAAAACCTACCTATACTTAGCAATTTAAATTCACACCTAGCCATGCCAACACAGATACTGGGGTTTAATAATAACTACAAACTATGTATGTTTGGAAATATTGAGAAAACATGCATTCTGCCCCCATGTGGTCAAAAATAATTATTCAGTGCAGCTTTAAACCAAACTCTTTAAACTCACATTGGCTACTTTAAATCACTAAATACAATAGGAATATGTGTTTATGAATATTTGTTTATGGGCTTGTTCTCACTCTTTACCCTTTGTTTTTAATTCTCACAATGTCAATTTATTCATTTTTAAAAAGCCTGTGATTTATGAATGTGGGGATTGTCCACATTATTGAGTATGTAAGTCACTTTGGATAAAAGCCTCTAACAAGTAACGTGTAATGTAATGAAAAAATATACGCAAAACAGAAATAGAAGCAAGAGATCCAACGTGTGCAGTAGAAGCGTTAAAAGGTAATATTGTCTCTATAATAACAATACTAATTGTATTTATAAAGTACATTTTACAATGAGTCGCACATTGCATAACAAAGACTAGAACACAAGAGAGATAACCAGATAAATATACTGATGATATTTAATTAAAAAGGTAGTTAAGTCTAAGCAGCCTGGTGATTAAATCAATGTATCAACAAAGGGTTAACATGAGATTCACGCTGCATGCAAGACGCTTGGGAACTACAAACACAACTGCGCATGTGCAGCTCGATTATTTAAAGGGTATGACGTCATTGACAGCTACGGATTAAAGATGGCGCCCTCTCATGCACTGAGGTGCTGCAAACGGGCTCTGAACTGGATACCTGTCATTTTTATTAACCTGGTTGTCGGCTGGTCTTATTACGCTTATGTTGTGGAGCTCTGTGTCTGTAAGTACACTCACTATTATAAAGTATTTACAAGAAGTGGGGCGGATATCTGATTGTGTTGACAGTTTCTCGGGGTTGCCAACTTTGATAAGCTTGAGATTTAAAGTTTCCCTATGCTGCATACGTTACTGTAAACATGCGTTTTATTCTAATTACAATATTACACAATATGCGTGTGTTTCAGATTGTTTAACCATTTAAATACATGCTACATTTAATTACCACATTATTTAATTGGGACACTTTCTCAGTTAGACTGGGAAAGGAAAGTCTGTATCGTTTCCAGTTATAGCCTAATAAGTGAATAACGGCTTCATCATGATAGTAAATGCATTTACAGTGCGAGTTTACCGGAGTAACAGATTAAAGAGATAACACTTTGTCATATGCGTTACAATGTATAGTGTTCTGTAAATGAATGGAAATGTATAAGCTACTTTTAAATGATTAAAAACGTAAATGGTTACAAATATAGTTTCAAAGTATGTGCCCTAGGGCCTAGTGTATTTCCTTTTCCAAAATATGATTCTGTAAATATGACTTTTATATTGTGACACATTACATGTACTCATTAAGTTTAAAAAACGTAGTTAATACAACTTGTGTCTTTACAAATGACAATAACAAATATTATAATGAATACTTTTTGTATGTAGATTGACTGATAACGAATAAACCTTGTGAGCCAGCTGTAAAATCAGAATAAGGGATCATTTAACCACATGATGCAACAGTGGTTATTCATTGTGGGGAGATGTGATGAGGGCCTTCTGTTCAACTGTTTATAGGTTTTTAAACACATGCTTGATGTGGTCCTTATTCTGTAATTAAGTTAAGTAGATGTGGCCAAAAACAGACAAATGATAGGACAAAAATGTGGAAATTACAGCTATAATTATAGGACTATCAACATACTCATTTAATATCAGAGCATTTCCTAGAAAATACTCAGACCAAGCCTAAATGAGCAGGTCTGTACTCTGTAATTATATTCTTGGTCTGTACTTTAAACTGATTTCTAGTAACTGCACTAACTACAGTAACTTTTTTTTTTTTACCATTATATGTAATCTGCCGTATGTCTAATGTTGGGGAATGTTCGTAATGTGATGAATGTAAATAATCAATAAATACATGTTTAAAAATCTGGTCTGAAATAAACAGAGCTTTCTTTAGCAATGCCTTATCCCCAATAGATATCTATTAATCAGTTCTGCCGGCCATAACATTCACTGCCCTCGCTCTCACAGTAGGTTTTTTTCATGGTTTATTTCAGCCTGGAACTGATGATACCATTATTAGCATGCAGGCGTACTGTAGTTCTGTCCTTAGCTCAGCAGCGGAGGTCAGGACAGGGACATCCCCCTAAAACAAAGCTCTCTGTTGTGTGAGGGTCACTGCTGGCCGTGCCAGGCTGCTGCGGCATGGTGTGAGGAACGGGTGGTGGTGGGGGATGTGTATTCTTAGGACTTTCATTACTACACACTAAAATGTATTTTTTCTTGTCATTTTTGTAGATACAATCCCAAATAATCCAGAACGGAGTAAGTGCTACCCACCACAATTCATATCCTGTTCATAATTCATATCAAATATTTTTGCTAACTTTTAATTTTCTCTTCACAGTCAGCTATTTGGTCCTCTTTCACATTTTCTTCACCATGTTCATATGGTCCTACTGGAAAACGATCTGGTCCAAACCAGAAAGCCCCTCTAAAGCGGTAAGCCAAGAAAAGAAGAAGTTTTCCAATGTGCACTTATATAAACTTTGTATTCAAGAAGGTTATATATATATATATGGTAAATATTAGGGGTGTAACGGTTCACAAACATTTCGGTTCGGTACGTACCTCGGTTTTTTGGTCACGGTTCGGTTCGGTACGTTTTCGGTACAGCAGAATTTTTTTTCACAAAACAAAACATATATATATATTTTTTTTTTTTATTATTATTAAACTGTGAATAATGTATTCACTCAAATAAATACAAAATATAATAAAATAAACATTAAGGTGCAGCATTTCGATGAACTGAAATAATCTGTATTTGAACTTTACTGTAGGCTACTAGTACTCACAAAACATAAACTATTAGTTTTGGGTTTTTAATTATTATTAAACTGTGAATATTCACTTAAATAAATACAAAATATAGTAAAATAAACATTAAGGTGCAGCATTTCGATGAACTGAAATAATCTGTATTTGAACTGTACTAGTTCCTAAGCAGCCAGTTTGACATTATGACTTGCTTGTCATTGTATTTTCATGTTTTTTTAAAGAAAAATTAACTTGTCCACATTGCTTGCCGAAAGGGCAGATCTGCTGGCACTAACAATGTCTCCTGCTGTGGAGAACACCCTCTCTAGGGACAGAGGTAGCAGATACAGCCAGGTAGCGCTTTGCTAACATGGCAACATAAGGATATTTGGCGTTTGTAATAGCTTTGGTTCGGTCTGAACTCTCTGCGAGTGGTGGAGGCTTAAATGCTAGTGGGAGTTGGGTTTGCACTTCAGTCTTTTTTCTTTTGGTACCGGTGATATTCACGTTCGGGGTGATGCCTTTTCAAGAGTGTGCAAGTTTGATGTATTGCCAGCCGCGTAACCAATTTTAGTTGAACAATGCCGACAAACAGCTTTGGTTCGGTCCACCTGTCTTTGTCCTTCATCCTTGTTCGTAACTGCGAAACCAAAATGTTCCCAAACCGGAGACTTCAATGATGCTGGAGGATTTTCGAGCTCAACTTTATCTGCGTTCGCCATTCATTTTCGACAGTTCCTCAAATTACTGACTACATTTGAACGCATCCCTCTGACCAGCTCTCATAGTATGCCTCTCATCCAATGAAATGACTTGCTCGCTCTATGACGCGTTGAACCCAATGTGACCAAATTACTCTGAATGCTGCGACGCAGCACCTGAGATTACTTCCAAAAAGTTGTTCACGTTCTCAATTGTTTACGTTTAACGTTATATTCGTTCGGTACACTTCGGTACACACCTGTACTGAACCGAAGGGCCCGTACCGAATAATTTCGGTACGGGTACGTGTACCGTTACACCCCTAGTAAATATACATGTATAGCAAACAGTCCATGAGTGTCCTATACATCCCATTATTTATAATGGTTGTCTCTGACTCTTTCTCCACCTGTCAGTTTTGTTTGCCCAGAGCAGAGAAGGAACTGTTTGAGAGAGAGGAGCGAGCCGAGACGCAACAAGAGATTCTGAAGAAAGTGGCGAAGAATTTACCCGTTTATACCCGCACAGCAGGAGGAGGTGAGGCTTTCACCGCAACAGCAAAACTGACTGTGGTTGTATTCGTATTTAAACACCCAGTGAACTTAAAGGTGGGGTAGGTCATTCACTTCAGAAACACTTTTTGTTATATTCCATGGAATGCTCTTAACATCCCGATAGCAATGAATACATTAAATGCTTTGACAATAAATACATTTAAAAAATTCATCTGTGGAAGCCGTGGCTTTTCAAATTCTAGCGCACTCGAGCTGGTTCCTCCATTCTTACCTACCCTACCTTTTAAGAAATCGTCTTACCTTTTGTTGCACCAAATACAATTGCATAAATGTGTTGCTATATGCTTATACCTCTATAACATATATTTGACTGGTAATGCTAATCAGGCTGTTTTGTATTTACTGTACTGCATGTATCAGGATGGTTAATTGGGATCAGGTGCACCTCGTTATCTCAATAGACCACACCTGGCCCTTCTACTAATCAACCATCGTTAGTGGTTTTAAAAGGACATTTTAAAAAGGCAATGTATTTAATACACCTCTGCTATGTCACATACCTTGTCATTGTGCTGTCTTTCATTTTTGAGCAATATAGATACAGCATTAATTCAGCTTTTCTTTTCTCTGAAAAGCCGTCCGTTACTGCGACCACTGCCAGGTGATCAAACCTGACCGCTGCCATCACTGCTCAACCTGTGAGATGTGAGTCTTTTCTAACTGCACACACTTTATAATTAAGGTTCATTATTGTCATTTAAAACGGTTTTCCCAGAAGGAGCACATGTGTTTAACGGATTCTAACTTAGATTTTACGTTATCAAATATAAAACGTTTTGCTGCAAGAAAACATGTTTGCAGCTCAAATGTGTCGCAGTTGAGAAATAGAACAGTCCGTTGTTAAACTAAAATATATTTGTATGCTGGTTTTAAAATGCATTTCTCCAGTGTTTTGATATACAATTAAACATTTATTGAAATAAATGTGCAATATGCTTTTCTGACATTAACAAGTGCGTCAGAGTAACCGCATCAGCAACATTTCTAAAATATGAACATATTATATAGACACTAATAGGACGTCATCTTTATTTTCCCTTTTCAAGGTGTGTGCTGAAAATGGACCATCACTGCCCCTGGTATGTTTTTTCATTTAACTTTGCATTTAAGCCAGTTTTTATTCCAAGTGATAAAGTGATAAGCATCCTTTTCTTTCTTATGTTTCGGATGCGTTTTCTTCCAGGGTGAATAACTGTGTGGGATTCTCAAACTACAAATACTTTGTGTTGTTCTTGACCTACGCCACACTCTACTGTGTGGTGATTTGTGCTACAGTCATCCAGTATTTCCTCAAATTCTGGACAGTAAGTACAGAAACTTCCTCTTATTTTCAATTTTATAAATCAGCATATTTGACATGTGAATGATTGTTGTGGTTTCAGTTTATTGAAGGTGTTTGTAGTATCTTTTAGATCATTTGACTCAAAATACTTTCTGAGAAATCTTGTCATTTTGAACAAAAATATTTGACATGACTGCAGCTCTGATAAGGCATGTGATGATTGCATCGTAAGATATCGACCAATTTTGTACAGAATGTGTCTCTGTGGTGCATGTCAGGTGATCATTTATCAGAGGATTCTCTTCAGCATATTGCTCTGCATGAAACAATGGCTCCTGTCACGTAAACCCAACAGTGAAGGAGGAGATTGTGTTCTAGCAAAGCATAGAAATACTAAGATACTGTTCTGTGCAAGGGTTAGATGTTGTACTGACCAGTGAGAAAAAATACCAATAAAAACGATTCATGGCAATCAGCTGTTTGGGTAAACATCACTTAACCCTAACACAGGAAATCATCTTTTTGACTGACACTTTTGTTATTTTGTTTTCCCCCTCTGGAGAAAGTGCTGCCGGACACGCATGCCAAATTCCACGTCTTGTTTTTGTTCTTCGTGGCTGCCCTGTTCTTTGTCAGCGTCCTGTCACTACTCGGCTACCATCTGTGGCTCGTGGGAAAGAACAGGACGACTATAGGTAGTTATTAATATATTTATAATATAATTCAACTTCTGAGTATAGAATTTTAAAAGTCAAAACTGACAATATTTCCCCCCTATTTTCAGAGGCATTTCGGGCTCCTGTGTTCGCAAACGGTCCAGATAAAAACGGGTTTTCTCTCGGTTTTAAGCGAAATGCAGCCGAGGTATTTGGAGACCAAGGGAAGTACTGGATGTTCCCTGTTTCCTCAAAGTAAGACAACTGTCACCTTGGAAATCCTTTAAATGGAGTGAAGACTCCAAAAAACCATTCACCCTGAATCCATCCAATGCTTACATGTTGGCTTATGCTCTTTTAATCTCTGTTTTATCAGTCTGGGAGATGGACATTCCTTTGTTACCAGATTGGTACACATAGATCCTGAAAGAGCCAACGGTATCCTTCAGCAAAATGGCAAAAGGTTTGTAAAGTTGTTTTTTTAACGGGCAGTATGAGAACATAAACAGCTTTTTGAACATAAAAGCATCTCACAGTAGAAGTTAACATACAAATATGAACCGTGAAAGGAGCAGAATAGGACCCCGTTTTATTGTATCCGTTTCTTCTCAGTTTTGTTTGCTGTGTTTAATCTCTAATGGGAATTGAATTACAGCCCTGCCGATGGGAAGCCCGACCCTTGTGTCCATGGTAACAATATACAACACACAGCAGACGACAGCAAAGGGAACATAGGTTTGTTGATGCCCTTCTATCACAATTTGTGCTCATTGCGGTTTATATGTTTTCAATATTACTTTCATGTTCAAACATCAAGCTTTTAACAGTGCCTCTTGTTTCCTAATTTTCAGAGGGAGGACAGACGGACTCTGTAAAAGTGGAGAATGAGCAATAGCAGGTATGTGAATAGTACGTGAATGCTGTACAGTTTTGCGGGTTTGTCTTCCTTTATTGATTTCCACGTTGTTGGCTGTTACTGCAGGTCACAGGTACATTACATCAGCAAACCATGATGCCTTAAACCAGGAGCATCAGCCCCGCTACAGGAGCCGTCCTCCACCTTCATCTTGAGTTCAAACCTCAAGCCACTTGTTTTGCACGTACATTTATTTATTTGACCATCTTTCATCCAGCCTGTTTTGAGCCAGCACCGCAAGAATACTGTTATCATGTCAACAGGGACCTCGTAGACGGGAGCAGATGTGATTCGTCTTTGTTTTGAGCCAAAGACATTCAAATAATGTTTTGTCATTATTGCATAAATAACGGACTGCTTTTTTCCATCTTGAGCCAATTGATTGTCCGTCTATATGTACATTAATCCCATTATACATTCCTAATAGAGAATCGTTCTCTGTCAGTATTAATCAAGCTTTAATAACTAAACAAGAGCAGAGGGAGCCACTAATGCGAGATGTGTATAAATCCTATAAAATGGTGCGCAATTATTTATTGCAGCAGTCAGTTATCAGTTACAGTTTACATGATCGAACAATTTCAAAGGTCTTTCTTTTTACACTTTTAACATCTTTTTTTTAACATTTCAAATGTTATACTATGTTCAGCAGACAGGTGATGTATTGTAAGCTTACATGTGTGGACCAAATCCAGTTAAAACTCCACTTAAAATGGTTTAATCTAAAAAAAAGAAACCTCATTGCACTATAGATATTTGTTATTTATTTGTTGACAAGCTTTTTATAAATAAATTGTATTTGAATGTCTATTTATTTTAATAATCATGTTTAATTTATTTCGTTTTTTAAATGAGCATTGTCCTTTTCCACAGATGTTTTCATGATCAATCCTTTGCTACAGTATGTGTTTTAAATTAATCACTCTTGTGTGTTAATGCCAATGATGAAATATGTCTCCTTTCTTGTTTTCTCACAGGTAATAGTTTAAAAAAAATATTTATTTGAACTTAAGAGCACAAAATGTAACCACATATAAAACTAAGAGGATATTGTCAGAAGGGTCAGTGACCTTGACTTGCTGTGTCCTTGAGTCTGAGCCAGGATAGATAAGACAGACTGTATAATGATAGAGGTATTTAGCTAGTGTCATCACAAATGCTCCTCTCTCTAACCCTGGCAGCTGTTTTATTGTATTACATTCATTTGAGTGGAAATGATGCACAGTGCAGTGTGGACGTATGCCTGAATGATCAGTAGAACATATTAATGTGTATATGTTACTTCCTGGGTGCTGGCCCGTGTGCATGTACTCGCAGAATCTCACGGTAGTTTAACAACTAACTCTACTCACTGACCTCTGTGAACTTTGCTTAATGCACCACCAAGCCGCTAAACCTACAGCAGTAAGGTCTGTAAAGAACTGTTCAGGCACGGTGACCTTCATTGATCTGTAACAATAAACATAATGTCAGAAACTCAAAGGTGTGATTCTTCATTTCAAACACAGGTTCAGTGGGATTTCTAAGACATTTAGAGGAGTTAAACATTCGTACCTGGTTTATTCAGAAGCTGCTTGAACTAAAGATTTGTCCAGATGTGGATGTTAAGACAGATCCAAGATTCAAGGCTTTTATTGTCATTCGTACATAGCTACAGTGTAGTTATGTCGATGAAAATCTTAGGTCCCAGGCTCCTCCAACAGTGCAACACAATAAAACAGATAAAATAGTGCAAGTAAATACAATAGAATAGAAGTAGTAATAATATTCTGCCTCAGTAATGCAAGCTCTTCACAATTAATCATGAAATAGAAAGTACTCTCAACCATATCTGTGTTAATAAAAAGAAGTGGTGGAATACATTTGTTATTGATAAAAACAGCAGAATTATTCTAAACATTTTTAAAAAAAAGCCATTCTGCATGGGTACTTTTACTTTTGATACATGATGTACATTTTACTGAGAATACTTCCTAACTTCTACTTAATTATTAGTTTATATTCAAGATTTTTACTTGTAATGGAGTATTTTAAGACCATAGTAATTCTGCTTTTACTCAAGAAAAGGACCCGAGTACTTTTTCCACTACTGAATAATATTAAACAGTAGCTTGTGATCCAATACAAGGCATGCACCAACTGGTACTTGCCTACTTTATATAATAATATGTTATTTGTGAAATTGTATTTACACTTGGCTTTAGGGATGCCAACGCTGGCTGGTCCACCACTCTGGTCCAGACCAATAAACTCCAAATATCTCAACAGCTATTGAACGAATTTCTTTAATTATTTGTACAGACAGATGATTTCTCGAGGACGAATTATAATTTTGGTGAACCCTGACTGTTTTATCTAGCGTCAATGAAGGTAAAAATGTCTGTTTATGACCACATCCCTGCAACGCTTCAGGCATTTTCATCTCAACTGAATTTGTGGATGTCAAATCAGACCAGGGGCTAAACCCTTAAAGCCCCCATCCTCTTATTTTTGGACCCATTGCTACGACCACAGCTTAAATTTGACTTCAACGACACATCTGTAAAGCTTTGTGATGACAAATCTGGCCAGGGGCATCAAGCAAGGTCCATCAAAATGGGTTACTATTCACTTTTCAGTTAAATAAAATAAATTGTCAGTTATCAGAGCTGGCATATTCAGACTCAGGGAAGGTGTTTCCTGGATATTGAATTGTTTTATTTTATTTCTCTGGTACATAACTAAGTGGCGGCTAGCTGGGAGAGAGGTGAATGACACTGAGGTCGTTCACCTCTCCATAACAATACTACAGATTAAGCTGTCAAGTGTGTCAGCGTTACTTTAGAAATGTAACCCTTTTTGAGCTTTTGTTAACTTCTTCAATTACATTAGACTTTCAAACATTTTAAATTTTTTGCAATGTTTTTATTAATTCATGGTATCCCACTTTATTGTAATACTAACATTTATTTATCTCTCGCTCAAGAAAAGGTCATAATCTGATATACTCAGTCTATCCTCCAAATGTTCTCAGAGTGAATGCCATTTATATGTATATATATATATTGTATTTTTTACCCTATTGAAATAAATGGGTTGTATTAAAAAGTATATTTTCTGACACTATTTATAGAAATAATCAGACATAAATCAAGAATCCTACACTGAATATTTGTAGAGGGAACTGGGCACCGTAATGTGACAATTTAATCACAAACTAGAAAATGCATTTCCTGCAGAAAATGCATGTGAATGCTGTAAACAGTGAACATTTATGGCTGAATTTAGCTGAAAATGCAGAAAAAGCTGAATATGTTATTAACTGAATGGTAGCTGCTTCTTGCTAAACAAATGCAGAAAAAGCTTAATATTTCAAAGAAAAGGTTTAAAAAAGGTATAAACAACAACATGTATAGCCTTGATGTCCTGAAATAGCTGAATAATGTAATAGTTGAATGGGTTCTGCAGCTGAAAATAGGCTGAAGGAGTTAAATATCAGATATAAGTAGTAGTGAATGAATTTGTATTAAGATGAGAAAAGAAAGTAAAAAGGCTTGGGAAACTTTTGAACTAACTTGATGGTGAATGATCTGTCGCCATGGCAATGACATTTGATGACATCCCATAATACTCTTAGATGTGTTGATGGCTGCATTGTTACCAAACCTGTGAAGTTTTGGGCCATTTCGAGTATTTTCACTGAAGTTATGAGAAAACCGTGTTTCATGGTGAGCATTGTGTTGCCATGGCAACGGCATTTGAAGAAATCTCAAAACTGTCACATAGATGTCTTCACGGCTGGACTGTTAGCACACATGTGAAGTTTGAGCACTCTTTGAACATTTGCATAGGAGTTATAGTGACATAATATTTTATGGCGAGGGATGCGTTTCCATGGAAACGGCATATGGTGAGATCTCAGATTTGGCGTAGAGCTCTTGAGGCATGGACCGGTGATATACAAGTGAAGATTGGGGGACGATTGGACAGTGTCGATTGGACTTACAGCCTCATCGTGTTTCATGGCGAGTGGTCTGTCGCCATGGCGACGACATTTGATGACACCCCATACTACGCTTAGATGCATTGATGGCTGCATCGTTATCAAACCTGTGAAGTTCTGGGCTGTTTGGAGTATTTTCACTGAAGCTATGAGAAAACCGTGTTTCAAGGCGAGCATTGTGTTGCCATGGCAACAACATTTGGAGAAATCTCAAGACTGTCCCGAATCGTCTTCACAGCTGGACTGTTGAAGTCTGCTGCATGTCAGTTGGAGTGATGACATCATCGTGTTCCATTACACAGGTGTTTATATTTGAACTAACGAGGTGTGTGGAGATCACAGGTTTCCATTGTTCTGAATGAGAGATGAACCTCTTACATGTGAACGTTTTGTGTAAGAACCGTAACAGATATCTGAGAAATTTCAAAACGTGAAGCATGTCAAGGAAGTTGAGTATCTGAAGTGTAATTTTTGTGTAGTTTTGGGTTTTAATGTGGCCTTTTTGGCAGTTTAACTAAAGGTGTGCGGCTGCTACCGTGAGGAAATATCTGCCTGAAATTACAATGGGCTTTAATGGAGGAATGTTGAACGTTTTTGTCACTTAATGCCCTCAAGAGGCATTTTCTTTAATATTTTTTCTTATTTTTTATTTATTTTCCAACCTAGGAGAGGTTTTCCTACGTTTTCCATGAAAACATATGTCTGAGGAGTGTAGGGTTTGGGAAGTATGGCAAGTTTAAAACATTTTTGGGGTAGAATTTTGAGCTGTCCTGCACTCTGTTTTGAGATCAAAGCACTCTAGAGTTAACGAGCTGCTCCATCTACTCTAATGTAAAAATCTTTAAAAGGCCTTTCTACCAAGCTCCAAACTAAATTCAATATCTCAAAAAGTTGAAAAGATATCAAAATTATTTTTATACAAGCTTTATAGCTGAAGGTATTGTGATCATTTGAAAGTTGGAATTAAGTGTTTGGCTGAAATTATGTGGAAGGAGATGCATTTGGCGCAAAGTGTAGGAAAAGTGGATTTGAAGGCATCTCCCATTGACTTCAATGTTACAAAAATAGTTTAAAAAGCTGAATATTTTGAAAAGTATAAAATATTTTGAAAAAGTTGAAGGTTTCCTATCGATTCCTGAACAGGCTGAATAGTTTAATATTTAAATGGTTTCTGTAGCTGAAAATAAGCTGAAGTTATGGAGTGCCAAAGTATTGGCTGAAATAATAATAATAAGGGGAAGAATAACGTTTTGAAGCACTATAGTGGAATGCTGTAAACAGCATTCGCACTAACTAATGTAAACTACTAATTAATTTGGTGAGAAACAACACACCCTGTCAAAGTTCATCTCTCCTCATACTTAATGGGTCCCACCCTTTTGAATCTTACCTTTTTCTTTATTACATTGACAACTTAAAGTCTGTGAATGAATATCAATGATTACCTTCTGAGGTTTTCCCATAAACTTGTCAAGTGTCATTCCCCTTTTTACTCCTTAGAAGTCTCCTAAAGGATAAAGTACACTTGCATCTGAACCTCCCACTTGAAAACACCGACAGACACTGCAATGCAAAGGAAGCAGATAAGTAAAGTAACTATTGAAGAGACTTCCTCAAGGAGAGAAGGCGAGGTTACATTTTTAAACTATTAGTGAATTTCTCAAGAAGAATATCAGCCATGGATGAACATCTCAACATCACCATTGATCCAGCTTGTTTACAAGATCCCCCGCTGGCTATTGACGTGATAAAGCGTAAGTGACCTATATTACCATATCCTGCTTGCTGATAATGTTTACTTATCAACTAATCTGAGCTAATGACGAAAACAACTCACTCGTGTGTGAAGCTGTGTGCCTTAGAGTCTTGAATGAGACATATCATTTAAATGTGTTCTTGTTTTATTTGCCTCTCTTCCTAAAACGTGACACAATTTTCTTTTAACCCAAATATTGTGCTGATTATTTCACATAAATAGCATTGCGACTGTTTAGAGTCGGAGAGGTCCTGATAATTTATTCCAGTAAATTACTCTGACCTACTAATTGACCTTTCCGAAGTTATTGAGTCTATGTAAGTTTGCTGCTTGGCTCAGATCCACCAACGTCAGCAAGATCTCACCTCTATTAACTTCCCGAAGAACCAGGTTTCAATTAACTGCTGTTTCAATTCAGACAACTCTTTTTTTAATCTGTTTAAGGGATCCCGAAGGATTTTGATATCAGTAAATGGAGTGTGCTCCTACCTAAGTGTGTGTGGCAGGGTGCAATCTTACCTTTGAAGCAGGAGAGGAGAGCACAGGTGTCTTTTAAATTATCCCAATCCAACAGGTGGGATTCAGTTTATTTGAAGAAAAATAGGTCCAAACTAATACAGGGTTTTTACCTTCTCTCTTTACAACATTATAATCATACTAAAAACCTGGTGCTGTGATCATGTTCAAATATGAAACTTTAATTCACAGTCTTACATTTATTACCAAAATGTTTTCATTTCAACT